CTATCCAGCTGGGGCAAAGCCAGCTACAATGGCTGGAAGTTGAAGCTAACAAATTCAGGTTAGAAAAAAGATATTTTAACAGGATACATCACCATGGGAACAACTTACTAAGAATTATGGTACATTCTCCACAGGAAAATTTTAAATCAGGACTGGATTTAAAAAAAAAAGAGATACGTTCTATTTTTGCCATAGCTATTGAGGTGGCTAGTTGTTTGTCTTATGGTAGGCAGAAAGTAGTACAGGGTGGCATCAAAGAGTGTCTATACACGTGCTCTAGGGTAGGCAGTGGGACGTTTAATTAGAGGGCCTCCCAGACAGCCACTCTAGTTCAACTGTGCAGTGTCACATGTATTAAGCGTCCCACGCTTCAAGATGGCTGCAGGGGCACTTTAACTAAAGCTCAGTCAATGAGTTTTAAAAGCACCCCTGTGTCCATTTTGAAACGCAGGACGCTTAATTCATGTGCTGGTGAGGCACGCTGGAGTTAGAACACGCCAGCAGACTCAATTAACCGAGTCTGCTCCAACACGTTCTCATTCGAATGTGTTGGAGCACATGCATAGGCACCAACCATTAGAGACTGTTTCAAACAGCAGTATTTGACAAAATAGATTGTTGCCTACAAAAGCTTGTGCCTCTCTGAACCAGCTAGTTTCTTAGCTGTCTCCCTGTCCCAGCTTCTGTCCAACTATAGCTAATGAAGTTGAAACACAGATGAATTCAGGAAAGTCCTAAGGCTCACATTATTCAGGGAGTCAGACTAGATGATCACAGAGGTCCTTTTCAGGACTTAAAAACTATGAAAAAATATAAGTTAAAGAAAAAAAAGATTCCCTTTAACTTCAGTGAGTTGTCAGTCAGACCTTAAGTGAAGCAGGAGTCACAAGAGGTAAGATTTTAGAAGTGACAAACATAATAAACGATGCTGGCAATAAAGAAATTGCCACACTGCTGACCTAAATATAGCGCCCAACTGACCACATCCCAAAGGCACCACACTTTTTGTCATGTTAAGATGAAATTTCAGGACTGGGTTCCTATAGAACAGGTTTGAAAGGTTTTGGGTGTGGCATGCAAAAAAAACTTCCTCAATTTGTCCTGCCTCACTCTGTCAAGCTCAAGTTGGTCATACCTCCCCTTAACTTCCTTACTCGACTGCATTCACTTACAGTAACACCAAAAATAAATCTTTAATGGTGTGTCCAGAATCATTATAACAAAATTGCAGCTCTCCTCAATTTAGCTTCCATTAAAAAATGGAGATCAAACACCAACCCTTTCCAAGTAAGTAGCAAAACTCCCACTGACTTTATGGGCCAAAATTTCACATTAAGCGATTCTATTTCCAGTCTACAAAACCAAAGTTCTTGCACTGCACAAAAGTGGGAAACAGAGAGAGTTTTAAATGATTTATTTAATTTCTCCACATGATCACAGTTAGAGTTTTACATCAATAAGGTCTGTTACTACTTACAAACAGAATGCATATTAAAATGAAAGCACTCCTCTCTTCCCCAGAGTTACAAAATGGGTCTTGAGCCTCCCCAGAACAGAAGTTTCTTGTGAGCATGGTGTTTCTTGAAGTCTTTAACAGTCTGCATTCAAGACCTAATGCTAACAGTTTAATACAACTCAAAGCTGAATTAAAGTTCCTACCAGGAGACGGGTGCTGTAGGTAACCTCAAAGTGACTGCAGACTTATAAGTAATACTAATTTACACACTATATACAATTTAGAGAATCATCTATTCCCCCTACTTGGTCCCATTCCCACCACCCTTTCGCCTCCCCCCAGTTTAATCCTGTTATTGGTTCCATGTTTGTTTTAAATATATACACAATAACTCATTTTGCAGGCAAGAAGTGTGATGGTATTTTACAACGGAAACAGCAAAATGCATGCTTAACTGCAGAAAACACACAGCTTCATATGAAACAGCAAGTCAACATCTAGAGATTCATTGTTTAAATATCTGCTGACCGTCTTTCAGCTCATTTTATCAAGAAACAAGAGGCTTCTGCTGCATGCAGTACTACATGATGGGAAAATCATTCTACACTGTATGTTTGACGACTTCTTTTAGCAATACAAGACATGTACATTATATTAGAATGAGCTTTTTTTACATTGTTGTACATTTTATTTTTAACTTAAAAAATTAAAAAAAAATACATATTTGACTGTTGTCCCAGAAAAGATTTTTTTGCAATCTGCATTCTCCAGTTTTCCTTTTCATTCTTTCACTTTGCCATTACTTAGCCACATTATTTATTGGAGCAGAGAAACATGGTCCCTCTACAGTGTTTTGTGCTGATTTTTAATCAATAAGGAAATATGACAAAAATCCTTCCATTCTACCCCTGCCTGCAGGCTAGAAAAATTCATTTTCTCCAATAGGAAACAAGATCAACATATTGGCACCTCCCTCCTCTAGGAGTGATCTACAGTGTTCTAAGCAAATGTTAATCTATGGTGTATTCTGACAGGTTAGACTGCTCCCCTAAACAAGCAGCAAAGACTTATGCTAACACCAACACATATTTGTTTCTTAGAAATAATTACTTCCAAACAGGAATAATGAGTCCACTGTATCTCTGATAATTGACTTAACGATGACAACGTTTCTAAAGACTGTGTTTTCAAAGGACTAGATTTTTTTAGCTAGTTTTAAGACACTTTCTGACTTTGCATATGCAACCTAGTGCACCTCTGAGAAGGCAGCACCCTTTTTCTGTGTGTGTATGAAAACGTGTAGATGGTTTGTTACATGCACAAGATTTGTGACAATTTTTGCACATTCAGTCAATTATACAGGGGAAAAAAAATTTGTGGACATGGCTTAACATGTGGCGTACAAAGTAAAACTACATTATGCCAAAGGCTTACTTGGAAACAAAACAAAACAAAAACACATCTGAAATATTTGGATCTTGGGGCTGAACACTACTTTCTATGGCATAACAGATCTGTTCCATATTCTGCACTTGTTCAGTATGCAGGATTTCCACTACTGCCAGTATGTCTGCATCTAGAACATGTACAGAATATATAACATGCAATTGAGAGGAATGTTTTCACCACATTTAATAATAAGATACAGTTTCAGAAAGAAAACTTGTGTACCCAAATGGGATCTTTTCTGGAACAACCTATAAATTACGTGTAGACTCTACTATTGGTACAAAGGTATGAAGAAAAGCCTACATATTTAAATATGTTATCACTTTACTTCAACTAAATATCAACAGTAACACTGATATATTTTGCAAATATACAATATGTAGAGTGTAGCCTCACACTATTAAACATTAGATGACATGCAGACAGTTCTACTTTCCCTTATAAGAACAGTATTTTTAAACTGCAAAGAACAGAGCCTCAGGGGGCCTAGATGAGCCATTTTAAGGTAAGCCGCAGAATTTAGGATAGCATGAATGATGATAAAAAACAACTTGTGTTTCTTTCATAATAAGATTAATTTATAGGAGAAAGAGCAGGAGGAAAAAAGATATTGCACATGTGGGAAATAAACAAGGACAGAATTAAACAAAAGGCTAAACTCTAGATTGCTGTATTTGCTCTCTATGGAGATTAACAAAGTGCTCAGGTTGCAGTTTTGCTGGTATTATGATATCAATGGTATGAAAAGGAGTGGGGAATAAAAAACCAAAAGTTAAAAGACAAAAGAGTAACCCAACATGGAAAGTTCACCCTTTTTGTTCTCATTGTCCCAGCATTCCTCCCTCACACAATGCTCCAGTAAATTATTCTTGTTTAAACAAGACAGATAGTTTTGATTCTTCTTTTTTTTTTAAAACCCATCTCATGTTGGAACTTTTTTTTGTCCTCTTCAAGGTTTGCATTTTGGATGGTACAGCTTTGTAGTTATGGTTCCTTTGTTTCTATCGTTTAGGTGCAAAGTCCTTGCAGTGGCTCAAAATGCTGAAACTACAAAGTACGCGCCATGTATAATTTTGTACACGATTTGGGGATACAAAAATCTCAAATTTGCAAATGGTTTGATTACAACACATAAGCAATAACAGCACAGCTGGATTTCATGTGATGTCTTGCAACTATCTGGACTATGACAGTAAAGGTTTGAGCATAAACTCAGCCTGCTGAGTGCTGTGTAAACTAACAGATGTGATGAATAAAAATGGTGAAACCACTTCTTTGCTAGCACATGGCTACATGGAATTACAATAATAAAAACTATACTAAATAAACTTTCAAGTTTCAAAGCAGCTCTATCTAGAAACACTTAAACTAGAATTAATTTTAACTGGGAAAAATGAGATATAGTAAACAGGAAATGAAGAGGCTGAAGGATGGATGTCTGTAGTTTTTATGTTTGAGATGAATGTTTTTGCAGTGTATGCATGCACCTTTCATACAACTCTTCATGTGTGTCCATTAAATCATATGCATTAAAAAAAGAAATGTGGATCATGTAAATTCACAGTTATCACAGCCTTTAAAGTGTCTAAGAACTTGTGTAACCAATGTTTTGAGATAACCACTGATGAATGATTATCCCATGCTGCTACTGTATAGTTACTGCATCTTAACTAGTTTGCTTACCTGAAACAGCAGAGCAGTTATAATACTGATTACATATGATATTATCATGTTAGTAAAATAAGGATTTGTACAAAGCAATATTTGACTACAACAGTTAAATGCTATGTTACTTGGCACATTTAGTAATGATTGCTTAGAGATCTTAGTAAGTCCAGAAGACTTCAATGAAAATACTGAAATGTTTGAATTTTGTTTCTAGCATTTTAAATTTTTGGTCTACTCTTTCATATACTATTCACCTATTGTACTGTCCTATCAAGTAAGTGGAGTTCTTTGTAAAGTCTATATTGCTAGTTTTGTGGACTGAAAAAAAATCTTTCCAAGCACAAATGTTAACTATACAGCATCTGTGTGTGTGTGTGTGTGTGTGTGTGTGCGCGCGTGCGCGTGTATGCGCGTGTGTATATATATATATATATATATTTATATGTATATATTTATATTATATAAAGTTTACTTACGTACTTTCATCAACCATATCAGGTCTACTTATTTTTTTGCCCAGTGACAATAAAAAAGCAAGATTGCAACACTTGGTTCAGAATCAAAATTTCCTGTATTTTTTTTTTTTATAGGTTAAGTTTTTATTATGCAAGTAAAATTGTCAAGGATTCAGTGGAAAAAGTAGCTTTACTAGTGTACAGCAAGCAGCATGTTTTCAAGGCAACTGAAGATAAAGATGGGCCAGAAGGCCAGCCTCTACCAAGTAGATAAGTCAAACCAATGTCAGTCACACTAATTTGAAGGGTTTTATTTAGTAAGAGCAAGCCTGTAAGCTCTCAGAAGTCAATTAAACTGTTTGGCTGGGTAAAAACTGACAGTTTATTTGCTGCTTCCTGTAAGTGCCTTTATAACTGTGTTTTTAAACTACAGTTATTAAAAGGGTCAATGTGTTCTAGACTATTGTGCTGATGCCACTGTGTTTGGGCTTAGTGCTGGCTGAAGTGGAGGAAGGAGCTGGCTGTCCATGGTGATGCTGAGCATGCGGGGCATGAGAAGAGTGCCCTGGGTGAGGGGGGGGCAATGGGGGGTGCACAGGATGGGAATGTTGAGAGTGTGGGTGCTGCATGTAAGAAGAATGCTGAGAATGTGGCACATGGTGGTACTGGTGCGGGTGCTGGACATGCTGTGGAGGGTGATAGTGGTGATGGTGATGATACGGGGGAGGATTCTGCTGCATGTGACAGTACTGTGAATGGTGAGTATGCACTTGTGCCTGCGTCTGCCCTTCAGATGGCCCTGCGTGATGCATAGCAGAAGGATGCTGTGAGTGTTGCTGATGGGGGATTACTGGAGGGTGCTGAGGCTGCTGTGATGAGCCAGATGGTGGATGGCCTTGGGAAGGTGGTTTTCCCCTTTTACTACCAAATAAGGAACCTAGGAGTGAGGAAGAGTTAGGCATAGTCTGGTGAGGGCGAGATGGACACTCTCGGGTTGATGTAGCTCTTCGGCGCATGTGAGGACTGCTAATGATGGACCCCTAAAAAGAAATTAATAGAAATAAAAATTAAAAAAAAAGTCTTAAAATATGTTTAAAAAGAAAAAAGTTTACACTGACTCATCAAATCTTCCTTAAGTGCTCACTCGGGTTGGCTAAATTAAGATTTAAGTGAATCTCTCTATGCCATTTTCTGTCTTTAAGCTACAATCAATGCATTCTAGCCCTTCTTGGAATGTTTGTAAACATTAATAACCACTGTCTGTTTTTTTGCTTAATACTTTTATTGTGAAATTTGTCACTTTAAATAAGAAAAATATGACAGATGGCATAACACATGGGAATGTTTTTAAGGGAAAAACTGCATTTTAAAATACCAGTCACATTTTCCTAACTGAAAAACCACCAACAAAAAACAAAAAAATCTACACAAAATTAAACTGAAATAATTAAACACACAGTAACAGATGTTAGATTTACCATTCAGCTCTCATAATTTTTAAAAAATGTAATTAAAAGTAATTTACTGCTACTGAAAACCACAATGGAGAAGGGTTGTACTGCATCATACACCTAACTCTATCACTTTACGATAGATTGAAAGAATAGTCACACAACTTAGCACTATGAGTCCTACTTGATGGTGTTCTTCTGTCTTAGGGCTTAATATTTCCTACTATTTAGCCTTTTTTTTTTTTTTTTTA